TACAAAAGAAACGAAATTAATCCATAACCTTCTAAATTTTTGTTTTTAAATGATATTATATTAAAAAAAAATTGATTTGGAAAAATGACTAGGGGTGGGACGATTCCGGATATCATGGAATTTCAGAGTATCCGGATTCGTCGGATCCGTGAAAAAACTATCCGGATCCGGAATCGTGACCTCCGGATATCCGGGCGCTAGGAATCTTTCCAAAAATCAGGATATCCGGATCCAGATAGTTTTTTCACGGATCCGACGATTCCGGGTCCGAATCCGGATACTCTGAAATTCCAGAATATCCGGAATCGTCCCACCCCTAGTCATTTTTGCAAATCAATTTTTTATCGAACAAAAATCCGGATCCAGATCCGAAATTAATATTAAAAATAATTAAAATAATTAATAAATAAATACAAATATATTTTTAAAAATTATTAGTTAATATTTTAAATGTATTTTTCATTATAAATATAATTTATTATAAAAAGAACTAAAATCAATTTTTATATATATTTATTTATATAAAATTAGTTTAATAGATATATAATATATATGGTTTTAATATATTTAATGCGTTCGAATCCGGATCCGGATATCCGGACCTTAAAATTTTGCTATCCGGATCCGGATCCTCTTTTCACAGATCCTAAATTTTACTATCCTTATCCGGATCCGGGCTCCCCGGATATCCTAATTTTCGGAGCGATTCCGAGCGGATAACGGATCGGATCTCGTATCCCAGATAATAATTCCACCCCTAAAAATGACATCTAAAATTGTATAATATAATTACTTATCCCGACTATCAAAATAAAATAAATGTTAATAACATATTAATTATCTATATACAACTGATATATGTTCACAAGTTCAATAATCGCGTATATAACGAGATTGACTGTCTATGGTTAATTATAGAGAGACTAAGTTTTAATAAGTTGAAAGATAGTCAATTAATTTTGGGTTTGACGTAAATGTAATTGGTGAAAATCAATTTTATTTGGTGAATTATAAACAGAAACGAAGTTTACGTATTTTTAAAATTAGGGGAATGAATAGGCGTAGAGAAGTAACAGAAATTTTGAAAATAACGTTTTAATTGTATATCTAGAAGAAAAATTACGCGGTCAACC